TTTTTTTCTCTATTACTTAAAAAATGTGCCATGCCAGCTATATATATGCACACATTTAATCAGTTTACCATCATGTGACCAATAAATTTACTTAAATATTGGAAACAAACAAGCACACATCACATGTTGAGCAAGTAGTGTGGCTCATTTCCAGGATGGCTCCTCCTTATCTATTCTGCCAGGTGATCCAGAATCTGCAATTTTTGTTAGAGATTTAAACACTCAACTCAGTATGAGTTCACAACTCATGTAGAGAGTGCCAATTTTCTGTACTCTGATATGTTTCTATTATAGTTTGAAGATTAATAGTGAAAGTTATTTTATATTTGATGAGAAATTGCACTTTATATATTTAGATATCTTTAAAAATAAATGAAAGATACGCAACTTTATGCTACTATAATTATTTTATTAATTCACAATTCTTGCACACCTACACATTATAGACCAAGCCATTTTATATAAATGATGATGATAAAAACGTTCGATTCGTTTTGAATCAAAACAGAGTAAAGTAATAACATATCACTGATATATTATCTTTAAACAAAACAGATCAGATCATACTCTACACCAATAATGTTCAATTTAGCAACGCTCTCACATGAATGAGGTAAATTTTGTTATTTAAATTCATTTTTTAGAATGTAATGAGATTTATCTTCAGCTTCTTGCAATTTTGCCATTTAAATATATCAAGTACATTGGAAAATATCGCCACCCCAAATTTCCTATAAGTGTGAAATATTTCATGTTTTGAAATAATTGCCTACAAAAGAATTTCAAAGGGGGAAATCTGAAAAGTCTATAAATTCCACCTCTTTTCAAATGACTTTAGAAAAGAAAATTATTTTGTCCCATTTTCATAAGTTTCTGAAGTTCTTGCAAAAGTGGATTTACCCAGACTTAATACTAGCTTTAGAAAAGTAATATAAATATACAAATGAGGGATTCAGGTGATCAAAAACTATACTGAAATATATAGAGGGGAGAAGATAAAATTGAGAAATTTATTAAATTTTAGAAAGTTTAAAAACATGTTTTTTTTTTAAATTCTGCAATTTAAATGGCTGAAATGACGCGAATAGAAACACTCAACAAAAATTAATCTTTATCTTGGAGCTAAGAATGGTAGAAGGATTTGTGTGAGCATTTGACCCATGCCTCAGAACACTCAAATAACCTGCAAGAAAGGTAAAGATTTTACTATAAAAATCTTATATTACCCGATGAAATAATGTGGAGAGGGACATCTATACAAACATAAAATGCTGGAAAAAAAATTCTAATTGTTTATATAAAGCCTCTGTATTTACTATAAGGCTTATCATGGAGAGAAGATAAGTAAGAAGCTGCTACATCGCTGGTAATGCTAAGACTGGTCTATTTAGCAAAATACTTTGCAACCTTAGCTAAACTATATATTACCTGAGTAATGTTCTAATCTAATAACTTTGAAGGTATAACAAGATTAAATTCCCGTGCGCGTAGTTTCTAGAATAGAATGCGCTTAAAGTTGATTGGAAAGCATACAAAGGGAGGTAAATAAAACTCTTAAAAATACACTTATATATTCTAAATATGCTTATATATTTATTGTGTAGAATTTTGAAGATTCAAATTAATTTTCAAGAATAAAATAAAAATGTACTCATATAATATTAATTTTTATTATTCATGCCATAATAAATTGCAACTTTCAAAAATGATTTTTTTTCCATATTTATTTTTCTATGTTAAAATATTACAAAATTGATGAAATAATTTAATATAAACTATTTTAAAAATTAAACTTCTTAAAATATGTTCCTATATATTAATTTTATTATAGAGACAAACGATTTTTTTTCTGTTAAAGTTTCATATCTATTGAGTTCCTTTTTAAATAAGACCATACTCCTAATAGTTAAAATGTAAACAAAAATATTGGCCTATGAATGCCTTATGAATTTGATAGGTTTTAATTTTTTGAATAATATAACCAGATTCTTTACAAAAAATATGAAAGGATTTCGGAAACATTTTAATCCTATGCTCAAAACGTCTGGATGGGTAATTATGGACGAAAATTATGACTACAAGATTGACATTGCACGTGCAGCGTACGCAGACATGTTACACGACAAAGAAAGAAATCAAAAATATTTTCGAGCTATAAAATTAGCGGTTGAATCAATTGAAAAACAGGAGAAAATCTCTAACGTTTTAGACATTGGTACAGGTACAGGCCTTTTATCAATGATGGCAATAGAAGCAGGAGCAAATAATGTTACAGCATGTGAAGCATTTGAACCCATGGGGAAATGTGCAAAGCAAGTAATAAAAGACAATAAAATGGATGGAAAAATAAAAGTGGTTCCCAAGCATTCATGTGACTTGGTTGTTGGGCCAGGAAAAGACTTGAATGAAAAAGCCAATATACTTGTCACAGAATTGTTTGATACAGAATTAATTGGAGAAGGAGCATTGCATGCTTATCAACATGCAGTTAAAAATTTAGTTGAGGAAGATTGTATTTGTGTTCCTCACTCTGCCACAGTGTATGCTCAGCCAGTCTACTGCGAGATGATTGACAACTGGAATACCATAAGGCCTCTCCATCTAGAGAATGGGACCACACTCCAGCCACCTCAGGAGTTTCAAACTTGTCCCGGCTTCCCTTCAATCCACGATCTTCAGCTTGGACAGCTAAAGGAATCAGATTTTATACCTCTTTCCAAGCCAGTGCCAGTTTTTAACTTTGTATTCAACAATTTGGAAAGTTTGGCATTCAAGCAAAGAACTAGGTTAGAGTTGGAAGCATTAAATGATGGGAAGTGCAACGGAGTGTTCATGTGGTGGGACCTATCCATGGATCCGGGTGGTCTGATCAAGCTGAGCTGTGGCCCCCACTGGGCCAATGACTGGAGTGAATGGAGGGACCACTGGATGCAAGCCATCCACTACCTCCATGTTCCATGCCACCTCCGCAAAGGTGAAACCTTCACTCTTGAATCTCTTCACGATGATTACTGCATCTGGTTTGATGTAACCAAATCCCCAACAAAGTCATCAGAAATCCCACTTCGGCCCATCTGTGAGTGTAGGATGCATATAGGACTGAACAGAAATACACTGGCCATGTGGAATGACTCAAGCCGGGTTCAGTTCTACAGTGAACAGGTCCTGAAGAAGCACGTGACAAAGGGGGCCAGTGTGGTGCTATGTGTGGGGGAGGGGAGCTGGCTGCCCTACGTGGCAGGGACACTGGGGGCCCGCCAGGTGTTCTACATTGAGGGAGAAAGCAGCAAGAGCCGACTGGCCTCCCACATCATCAGCACCAACAACCTCCAGGACAAAGTGACCCTCATCAAGAAAGATTATGAAGAGGTGACTGCAGAAGATTTTGGCGGTGCCCAAGTAGACCTGATAGTTGGGGACATGCACTTCCTGAGTTCGGTCCTGCCGTGGGACAACCTCTACCTCTGGCACCTCAGCACCCGGCTGCAGGAGCTGGGGGTGGCCCACCAGAACACTGCAGTTCTCCCCGGACAGGCCGAGGTGCGGGCTGTGGCTGTCAGCTTCTCCAATCTGGACAAGATCAGAGCCCCTGTCATCAGTGCTGAAGGTTTCAATCTCAAATCCTTTGACTGTCTCATCCAGCAGGCTATAGAGGAGTGCGACGAGGCGGTGGAGCCCCACAATATCTGGGAGTACTCCAGCCTGGCTCTGACCAAGGCCTTCACTCTGGCCACACTGGACATGTCTCTCTTCTCCCGCTCTGAGCAGCTGCTGTGCCAGGGTGTGGAGCAGCTCTCCAGCCTGGACTGGCCCTGCAATGGCCTCATCCTCTGGCTGGACTACAGGTACCAGGACACTCTCCTATCCTCAGGTCCACACTCCGTAGTCCCGGGACAGACCCTGGAGTGGAACAAGTATACCCGTCCAGGCATCTACTTCCTTAAGCCTAAAGAATGCTCCAAAGAACTTCACTGGAATCTAAAGTTTGGACCTAAACAAGGACTCCTACAAGTTGACTGCAGGCTAAATTAAAGTGTTGTTGTTGAGTTTTTACCTTAATGGATCTTTTAAGAAAAACATTTAAATATATGAAAAAAAAATATTTTAAACAATTTTTATTTTAATATTTCTAAGGAAGGGTTTTTATCATTAGAAAAAATATATTTTTGAAAATATTTGGCACATACCAATAGAAGCTTTCTACCACAGCTGCATTCTGACATTTAGCAAGTCATCCCCATTGTTACACCTTTGTTTTTTTAATTTCATTAACATTTTTATTGTTCTAGCGAATTTTATTTTTTATTCTATCAATATGAGAGATCTTTAAAAGGATTCTCCCATTATTATATTGTAGCAAAGTATTTATTATATGTACAGATTATTACTTTTTTGATTTTTATATTTTGCTACTCTAGAAACTTCCCTCATTGCTTATAACTTATAAATGTTGATTTTTGTTTGTGCCTTAAATAAATTGCGGTGTCATCCTGAAATTTGTCTTTCCTAATTTTCTATGCTACTATATTCTGACCTTATTTTACAAGAGTGACCATCTGGGTTTAACAAACCCCTGTGGCCATTATAAAGTTCCCAAAAGTTTAATTCAACACTTGTTTCTCTTAAAAGAACTACTTGTGAAGTGAAAGGTGGCATTGGTCAGGATGCAGAAACTCATGTTTTTAGCTCAATCATAAAAGTTAGATAGAATTAAAGAACAACAAAATTAATTGATATACACCTATATTAAAGCAATTAATATAATTATTTAGTCTGATGGTGTGTGTGTGGTACCATTATGTGGTCTTAATATGGTTCTAAAAGAAAATAATTTTTTTTTTCCACTTCTATTTCTAAAAATAATATTTTAGGGTTCTTAGAAAACTATCTTCTTATCTGCTAGCTTGTTTACACACCTGATAACAGTAATTATTTAAAACATGCTGTGAGATATTTTTGCATTATGTTCGCATCCTGGTCCCGGCACCTTTTTTATTGTATCCCACATGGTTTAGTGGCTAGGGTAAGTGGCTTTCACCCAGAAATCTGGGTTCGATTCCCGATGTGGGAATTTTTTTTCACTTTGGTTAGTAGCCCATAAAACCATATTTTCTCTCTATTTTTGCATTTAGTACTTTTGTCTGAAGATGGTAACAAAAAAAATGCTGTTACCGAGATGTCACACACTATTTATATATTTGGATTTGGTTTTATTACCTTGTGTTTATAATCTATAATCCAAATTGTGCTTTATCAATTTTAACCTATATAATTCAATTTATTCTTTAGTTTCAATTCCAAAAGAAGATACACCTTCAGAAAAAAAAACTAATTTTCCCATTCATAGCAAAAACTTGGCTTAAATGACATTTTTTTCTTGTGATCCCTAATAACCTTTTCATTATAATACACTTCTAGCCAACACCCAGAATAACCAGTTTTTCACAAATTTTAGGAATTGAGTGATAAGGTACAATTATAGATTAGAAGCACAAGGTTATATTATTTTTATAGACTTCAGTGACACACCATTTATTTCCTTGTGTTTTTATGAATTGAGAAATTTTATCCTATTATGTGTGTATTGTTTATATTCAAAATTTGGATATCTTCAAAATGACATATTTGACACTATCCACAAAATGTGATGTTAGAACATGCCTTCACTTTCCCAAAGTTGTGAATACATTTATTCATTTTTATAAAACACCCTACTTCATTAGAATGTTAAAGCTTCATATTTTTGTTTTATAAACAGGATTCTTACAATTCCATTCTACTCTATGCAAATGTTGCCTTCTGTATATAATTTCTGTTTTTTTTTTTTAATTACCCAAATAAACTGGTTTTATTTAAGCAATGGCATTTCTCTAGCACTAAAAACACAAACATTTTGTGACACTCCCAAAATATATCAAGACCAATCTATAATTACATATAATAGATATTCCTCTCTCTCTCTCTAAAGGACAACCATTCATTACTTTTTTCTGATGATGGTTAACAACACAGTTACCAAAACGTCACACTATTTATTTGGATTTAGTCTTGTTACCCTTTGTTTCAAAAGGACAACTAGTTGTAGAGCCAAAGTGTCCTTTAGAGAAAAATTTCTCCTTTTTTTTTTACCAGAGTAGCTAAATAGTAAAAAATTTTAACTATTTTTTTTTTTTTGTAAAGAGGTGTTCTTTAGTGGGAGAATTGTCCTCTCATGGAGGTTCTACTGTATATAATGCGATTTATTTGGTCTTGTTACCTTATTATAATTCAAACTGTACCTCATATTTTTGTGGCAGTAAGAATGTTTAGACAATCTACAACAGTGTTTGTTATTAGAAGATATGTAGAAGTGAAGAGAATTGTGCAGAACTGGATGAAATGGAATGTTCTATGACCTCTGTATTGGAGATAGCACATGATGATGATACAGCAAGGTATTAATGTGTAAGAAGCATCAGGTATAAATATTGCCTTTTGACCATGCTTGAGAGATACACCTTGAAGGGAGAGGTAGACTGAGGAAGGATTTGTCCAGAACTACAAGGTAATAAGACCAAATGCTAATAAATAGTATGTGATGTTTTGGTAACAGTGTTGTTACCATCATCAGACAAAAGACTGAAGGACACACTGTTACTGAAATGTCACACACTATTTATTTGGATTTGGTCTTATTACTTTGTAGTTCTAATCTATAACCCAAATTGTGCCTTATCAGATTAATCCAGAATTATGAAGAGAACAGGGTGAAATGATGGCTGACCTTTGTGTCACTACAGTAGAACAACCTCTGTGAGAGGGCACTTTGCTAGAGGACACCTCTCTACAAAGGACAGTTTACATCACCAAAATTGCCATTTTTAGTATTTAGCAGCTCTCCGGTAAGAGAACACCTCTCTCTAAAGGACACTTTGGCTCTGCAACTAGGTGTTCTTTACAGAGAGTTTCTACTGTATTTGATGATATTTAGGCGAAAAAGAACCAAGATGCACTAGTGATTTGGTACAATTCAGATTATAGATTAGAAACAAAAGGTAACAAGACCAAATCCTATTTATTCATTAGGCCTTGTTACCCTTTATTTCAAGATGCACTGGATGAAGTATCAGAATTCACGGACAATAACTGACACAACCAGAGAGTTAGCTTTGTGAGTAATTACTAAATATTTAGATAGCCAATATTATTTTCAAAAATTGAAATTTATTTTTCAGAAGTAAGCTAATGAAGCCTACATTTTGGTAATAAGGGTTAAAGCTATGGATCCCAATATAGGATCTGAAAACTGAGATATTTTAGCATTTAATCAGCTAGTTCTGTACAAGAAGTTATCAAACATGAGGATCAAATTTACTCACATTGAAGCTCTGCCATTAAATTTAAACCAAACTTTTCCTGGTCTTCTTCCTTACTTTCCTATTGCTGAGAAATCTGCCATCTTTGAAGGTTTAGTATTTCTGGTCTCTCTGATTCCACTAATCTTTCATTTCAGTTAGGATGCTTTGTGTTTCTGCACTTATTTTATCACAGAAAGGAGGAGCAGGGAGTTGGAACTGGAAGTTTTTACACATACTATACTCATTTATGAATTAGTGTACAGCTGAGAACCTTACTTAATGCTAAGATTTTATGTTGGAGTTTAACCATGGCTAAAACAATTTGGACATTATAATGTTATAACCACATTGCTGTTATAATGAGGTTTAGCTCTATCTCTTAACTAAAATACTAAACTTGTTTATAGAAGTATGCAGCTTTAGGGGATAGAAAGATGGAAGCTGTGGGAGAACCAATATTCTGGCAATTAAAAATCCTATACACTGACGAAGTACAAAAGTGAAATAATACTGGGAAAAAGGCATCCCCTGATCATGCAACTAAAAGTTTTTGATGGCTTTTGCCATCTTTCAGAATAAATTAGGTTAGGAATAGGTCGGCTTTTCTTGATTAATCAAGAATGTGTATTTGGCCAATTCTGGAATAATTAAAAATCAATGATTAGTTGATATTTTTTCTGACAGTTGTCACAAACCATCAACAACTTTTAGTTGCACGATCAAGAGATAGCTTTTTCTTGAAATTACAGTGTTCTTGTTAGAAAAAGGGAATCCTCTCCAAAAGGTAGTGCTGTGTTGGAAGAGGGAACTGGTGGATTGTTCCGTGGCTGGGTGACAACTACTGTTGAAGACTAGAAGTGCTGTACAGTGTCTAACATCTTCATTTATGTATTTTCAGTTCTTTATATACACTATAACCTTGCTATTACATTACCTGAGATTTTATATGGTTAAACCATTATTAAAATAATTGAAACCTTAAAACTTGAGACTATAGAAACATTAGGTAACAAGGCCAAATACAAATTAATGAAATGTTTGGGACATTTTGGTTGTTGTGGTTGTGACTGATTGAATTGTGTCCTCATAGTAGATTTCTCATCAGAACCCCGGACTGCAGCTTCTGACACGGCAGTTACCCTGGTCATTTTCCAATGACACTTCGGTAGCAGCACTGTTACAGAAATGTCACAAACATTTTGTTAAATTGGATTTTTTCCTTATATTTATAATCTAAATTGTATCTCATCAACTGAGACTAGAATGATGTGGTTATAACCAGGCCCTCCCATTAATTTTCCCAGCATCAGTATCACTATAAAAGGAAGATCAAAAATGCAATATAACAGCGGTATGGTAGATTAAACTGGTGAAACCGCTAGGAGGGTTCACCATTGATGAGCCAGGCCCTCCCATTAATTTTTCCATTACAGTAAGGAGCGTAGAAATTATTTATTTTTAAAAAGAATCATACACGTCTATAATAGTTTCAAATTTTGATAACCAAGTATAATAAAGTTCCACTGTATAATAACCTCCATAGTACAACATTGGAACAACAAGTACTGTGTAATCTAGCCATATCCTGGAACAACTCCCTCTCAAACCTTTAATTCAAACTTTGGTTGAAGGGGAGTTGGTCACGATTCTACAAAATGGCTTTATTGTGTTACAAAATCAAATGATTTCAAGATCAATAAATGTGAGTTTTAGGTTACAGTGTTGTTACTATGTAATGACAGTTATCTAGTGGATATAGGCTTATGACTTGATTTCAAAAAGAATTCAAACATTTTGATCTCGTCTCACTACCCTTTTTAGATTTCTAAATAACAAAGTGTGCATTTTAGGGTTAAGAGTTTTTGGTCAAATATGTAGGAAATAATGGCCACCTTGGCCACAAATAACTTTAGGGATGTCCACACCTCCTGTTTAACAAGTCTCCACATATATCTAGTCATTCTTATCCAAATGTACCTTATTATAACACAGGGAGGGTTCACTACTATGCCACCTTATTTCAATTTGCAATCATTGCAGAGTATAAGGGCTGTAGAAATAGATTATTATTATAAAGAATAGTGTTAAAATTTGTATCAATTTTTTCAATGATGGAGAGTGCAAGGATGTGATAACATTCGACATTGTTTAGTGAATCTCCTCTAAATGTGTGAAGTAACATTTTGGCAGTTTAAAATTTTTTAAAAATACATATAAAGTAGAAAAACACAAGGTAATAAGACCAAATCTAGATAAATAGTGTGTAACTTTTGGTAATAGTGTCAACAATGCTGTTACCGAAACGTCAAACTATTTACTTATTTGGTCTTATTGCTTTGTGTTTATAATATATAATCCAAATTGTGCCTTTTCATATGCAGTAGAACTTCTATATATATATAGGACACTTAGTTGCAGTGCCAAAGTGTCCTTTATGGAGAGGTGTCTTCATACCTGAGAATTGCTAATTAGTAAAAATGGTATTTTGGCGATGAAAACTGTTCTGTGGAGAGAAGTGTCCTTTAGAAAGAGTGTCCTCTCATGAGGTTCTACTGTATATAGAATTTGTCTGTTTTATTATAAACACTATCTGGTGAGTTCAGATACTTGAGACCTTTCATATCTTCTCTTTTTGAATTCTGCATAATGGGGTTAGTGGTATAAACCATTGAATTTTGACAGCCATGACCCAGGATTCTGAATAAAAATTGCTAAATGGCCAATTTTTGCCAAA